TCCCCCCGGTCCTCGCACAACCCTGCGCGTTCACGTGTCCCCCCGGTCCTCGCACAACCCTGCGCGTTCACGTGTCCCCCCGGTCCTCGCACAACACTGTGCGTTCACGTGTCCCCCCGGTCCTCGCACAACCCTGCACGTTCACATGTCCCCCCACTCCTCGTGTAACACTGCGTGTTCATATGTCTTTCTTCCCTCAGCCTTTGTCTGTGAGGGGAGTGACTCTGTGGTCTCCTCAGACTGTCACTAGCAGTCCCGAGAGAGTCATGTTTGCACAGGATTTAGAGAGACTGTGGACAGAAAGAAGTGGACATGCCAAGTGCCCACATAACGTGTCACCTCGGCGTGGGACTCCCTACTTCACCAGAAATAGTTTGTATTGGTTTAAGTTACAGGTCTGCCCTCGTGGTTTTGTCCACAAAGGGACAGTCCACGACATCCAGTGTTTTGGGCCAGCACTCGGGGCACTGAGTAGCTGGGGCTGAGGGGTGCTGCTAAGATCCTACAGAGCACAGGATGACCTCGGACACAAATAATACATGAATGGTGCCAAGGCTGAGAACCAGGGAGATGTGTGAATGTTCTGTCCCACGAGGACCAGGGGACTGACCGGGGAGGTGAGAACCCTCCTGTGCAGACCGTCTAGTCACACGTCTCAGAAAGAACGTGGCAGTCTCTGTGATGATAAAGCTGCCTTGCTAAAAAAAGGGTACTTCACCCGCCTGCAGGCTCACTGCACAACCCGGAGAAGCACAGGCTACGTGGGGAACCACCACGGTTTCCTTCAGGGGAACGTCTCTGATGTTCTGATGTCTGCGTTCCACAGCGAGGGGACACGCCCTAATGTGACGTCACGCGTTTCTGGGCTGTGCCAGTGTGGAGCCTCATGGAGGATGCACAAATGTGGGGAAGAACCAGAGGAACTGGGTCAAGAGAACACTTCTGCAGCCACACTCTTCCCACATCAGCGCAGCCAGGCACGTGACAGCCTACGGCAATGTGGTTACATCAACACAGTTGGGGGCATGACCTCCTGTGACAGTGCGGTCCACGTCAGTGCAGCCAGGCACGTGACGTCCTACAACATGGTCTACATCAACATGTCCTGGCACGTGACCTCCTATGACAGTGCAGTCCACGTCAGCGCAGCTAGGCACGCGATGTCCTACAACATGGTCTACATCAACATGTCCCGGCACGTGACCTCCTGTGACAGTGCGGTCCACGTCAGCACAGCCAGGCATGCGACATCCTACAGCAATGTGGTTATATCAATACGGCCGGGGGCACGACCTCCCGTGACAGTGCGGTCCACGTCAGCGCAGCCAGGCACGCGACATCCTATAGCAATGTGGTTACATCAATACGGCCGGGGGCACGACCTTCCGTGACAGTGCGGTCCACGTCAGCGCAGCCAGGCACGCGACGTCCTACAACATGGTCTACATCAACATGTCCCGGCACGCGACCTCCTGTGACAGTGTGGTCCACGTCAGCGCAGCCAGGCGTGTGATGTCCTACAACATGGTCTACATCAACATGTCCAGGCACACGACCTCTTATGACAACATGGTCCACGCCAGTGTGGCCAGGCACTCAACATCCTACAACAATGTGGCCTATATCAACATGGCTAGGGGCATGACACCCTATGACAACACGGTCCACATCAGTGCGGCCAGGGATGTGACATCCTACAACAACATGGTCTACATCAACACGGCTAGAGGCACGACACCCTATAACAACGCGGTCCATGGCAGTGCGGCTGGGTAGGCAATGTCCTATAATAATGCAGTCAATATTGGTGTGGTTAGACATGTGACACCCTATGACAATGCGGTCCACCTCAGTACAGCCAGCCATGTGACATCCTACAACAACATGGTCTACACCAACACAGCTAGGGGCATGACAACGCAGCCCATGTCAGTGTGGCTGGGTAGGCAATATCCTATAACAATGCAGTCAGTAGACCCGTGCACACAATACTGTGTGACTACATGGTCAAGGTCAATATGGCCAGGTACGTGACATCCTGCCACAACATGGTCAGCATCAACGTGGCGGGGTGCCCAACATTCTATGACAATGCGGTCAGTACAGCCAGGTGTGTGACACTCTATGACAACGCGGTCAGCATCAGCGTAGCCAGGTGCGTGACACCCTACGATAATGCGGTCAGCGTGGCTAGACGTGACATCCTACGACAATGTGGTCAATGCCGCCAGGTGCGTGACACTCTTCGACAACACAGTTAGTATCGGTGTGGCTGGACACGTGACATCCTACAACAGTGCGGTCAGTGCAGCCGAGTGTGTGACACCCTATGACAATGCAGACATCCTACGACAATGTGGTGTCAGCATGGCCAGACATGTGATGTCCTATGACAATGTGGTCATTGCAGCCAGGTGTCATACCCTATAACAATGCAGTCAATGTCAGCATGCTCAGACACATGACACCCTGACAATGCAGTCAGCATCAGTGTGGCCAGACACGTGACATCCTATGACAGTGTGGTCAGTACAGCCGGTGTACGACACCCTGACAACGTGGTCAGCATCAGCATGGCCAGACGCGTGATACTTTACAACAATGCGGTTAGCACAGCCAGATGTGTGACACCC